GCTTATGCTCGACCTTATCATGTACCGGGCCTACTTTTCTTGCATTCATAGTCTCCTCCATGTTTATGTATTTTTCTCCTCGAGTTAGGAGCTCGGTCACTGACTTCGGTAGAGTTTTGGATAACGACATCTTGAAAGCCTCACACCTTATGGCATACGTAAGGGCAGAGACTGCCGCTGTGATGTGAAGGTCAGGTATCTGAAGTCTTTCCTTGTTGAACCTGGTCATGAAGTCGCGCAATGATTTACTCTGCCCTTGACAAAGCTGCATGAGGGAAGCTGCTGTCTTTCAGATGCGCTTACTGCTTGCAAAGAAGGCGGAGAACTTGTCTGCTAGATTTGAGAAAGAAGCAATGCTATTGGGTTCCAGGGTTGAGAACCAATCCCTGGCGGCATTTGTCAGGGTTTGCGGGAAGGCCTTGCACATCACTTGATCCGGTGCCACTTGTAAGTTCATGACGTCGGTGTATATGTTGAGGTGATTAACGGGGTCCGTCGTCCCGTCGTACTCCTTTATACGGGGATACTTAAACCTATCAGGCAAAGGGAATGACAACACATCCGTTGTGAATGGAGTGTTAGGGGTGAAGCTGGCTGACCCTCTGGCATTCTGAAGGAGTCCCATGGTAATTCCCTCCTGAATGATCCGGGCTATGTCCTCCCCGTCCATTGTTACCGACCTCGAGGCCATGTTGTCAACGCCCGAGCCCCCAATTCCTCTAGTGTCATTCGCAAGGCGCGGGACCCGAGCCCTATCGTCGGTTGTGAAGCCTCTCGAGGCACTGCATCGGCCACGACACCTCCTCCGGGTGCTGGCTCTTGTTGCGGATGTGAACTTCTCTAACTCAGTAGCTGTGTCAATGTGGCAACCTGTTGACAGAGCTCTTCGAAAGCCCTAGGTGTAATGGTGGGTTGAGGTGCTGGAATCTCCGACGACTCTTCTGGAAGAGCAGGCTGTCCTTCTGGAAGATTCGGAGCAGATACACCTGCTAGTAGAAAACCCGATCGTGTGGTAACCATGGCTTTTGGTAGCGATTCCCACAGACGGCGCCAATGATGCTACCAAAAATCTTACCTGGCTGTTTCCGATCCTGACGACTGTTGATGAGCACGAACGTAATCTCTCGATACCTGAAACAAAGGCGGTGAGGTATGCCCTCGTCGCCCCTCCGATGCTTAAGTCAGATAAGGAAATTTTAGCGTAATGCTTTATGCTGTAAAACAATGTAAAAAACATACCCGAATATTGAACTGGGAGCCCGTATTTATAGAGCTAAGTGGTAGAGTCCTAGTAGGACTGTGTAGTTCATCCCTGATAGGACTGAAATTGTTGAAGCGTTGTTATCTTCAAAAGTCCTATCAAAGATAGAGTTCTTCCTGGAATAGGAGTCCGGTTGGTGAATTTAGAATGAGGTCAGGGCTCTTATGGAGGCAGGACCCCACCCTGTGGCTTAGCAAGGAAACATATGACAGGGTATGGCCCCAAGCAGTAGCATGGTCCACACCATGACCCCGAGGAGCAGCATATTCCTCGAGGATTTAGTAGTGAAATATATGAGGTTACGCCGGCTAAGTCCCCGGGGTATAATACCCGAGGATTACTGGGATGTGCTCGAGGACCAATCTCACCAAAAGCGGGGATCGATAAATTGGAGTCCTCGAGATAAATCTGGGCAGGAGTCCTCGATATTGGTGGGCCTAGACTCCTCGAGGACTGGGACCTTAAATCCCAAAAAAGAGTCAGGTGAAGTCCTCGAGGAATGAGGCATCGGGGGACTCTCCAAGTAGGCAGCACAAGGACAATCCTCGGTCTAGTTAGGCCTCGGGTAAACAAAAACCCTCATGTCAGATGGCAATGAAGTAGATGGCGAGGACGGCAACAATGGTGAAATAATTATGTTTCCTTTTTATTCGAATTTTTTTATTTTTTTTCTGCCTATATTTGGTTGTGAAATTCTGAAATTCTCCTGTTGAAAATCTCCTACATCCCTACAGATAAGCACACTCATAGTAACCAAGAAACTGAACAGGGGTGCAACTATATTTCAATTGGAATGCAATTTTTTTCAGCTGAAATGAAATTTCAGCTAGTTAAATGTGTGAAAACTTCTTTCCTTAAGCTTATTAGTCATGGGAAAAATAAATATGAATTGTTTGCTTGCTTGCTTGCTTACAGGAATGGAGATTAACTCATTGGAGGATCAAGTGATGAGCATAACATCTCCTCCACCACCTCAAGCATTTGGGACACAATACAGTATGGAAGTTATAACAACTTTGCAGTGAACCATCAGATTTTTTGGGAGACAACTTTTGATGTTGGTGATGTGCCAGTCTCTTAATTTTTGACTGATTTTTGGGAAATCTTTTGATTTTGTAATGTCTCTATTTTGGGCTGGATTGTAATTATGATATGAAAACCTTAAGTCAGATAGAGTTGTAAATTTTGATATGAAAACCTTTAGTCAGATAGAGTTGTAAATTCTGATATGAACTTTGTTTTTGCTGGTTTATTCTTCTTGGTCCAGATGTAGCATCAGACTATGTTACAGAAGTTTGATGCTTAACATGTAATTGTACTTCCATATATCTTCTATGTTACAGAACTTTGATGGGGTATACCAACCTGTGCAGCCATTTGCTTATAAACCATTTTAGTTAATTTCCTTAACTCATTACACACATATATTGTACTGTTTACCAAGATGAAGAATAAAGATTAGATGGGATGTAGCTAATAGTGGGAAATAATGAATATTTGGTTGAGAGTCATTTGAGAGTAGTGCATTTGCTTCTAAGAAGCAATAGCAGTGCATGAAGAATTTTTTTGTATTTCATTTGCTACATCCCATTTGCTTCTATTAGCTACTTTCCATATAATCTCTATTAGCTACATCCCACTAGCAATGCATTAAGAAGCATGATTGTCTTCTAAAGTTAATAAATGCAAAGTTCATAAAGCCAATTTGCATATACAACAGTACAAAGTTCATAAAGCCAACTACATTCTCAACACAACCAACTACAACTACGTATACAACAACCAACAATGACCATGTAAGACATTCTGCTTCTTCATCGTTTTCTTCACAACCAACCAACAACAATACAAAGTTCATAAAGCCAATTAGGTACTGCTTCTTCATCGTTTTCATTGCTATTATCAGCCCCACCAGCCATAACCATGTAAGACATTCAGCCTCTTCGTTTTTGTGGACTGCAATCTCCCTGCCCAAACAGGACTACAATCTGACCCTATTGGTTTTAATCTCCATTCAGCTTCTTCTACGGTTCTACCCTCTTGCTTCTGACCTCAGAACCCCAATTGGTTCTTCTGTGTTCGCTCTGTTGCTCATTTGGACATGGTGGCTTGGCAGCTCCATGGTAAAAGAAAGCAATTACCTTCGGCTGTTCTAACCTGTGGATTCCTGGAGTAAAAAATGAAAATTACAATATAGAAAAGGTAAATAGGTAATCAAAGGTATACCATTGTACATCATTTTACCATTTGAAAATGAGTTCTGGTAAGGCGATGGCACCTTCGTGGTGGTGGATGCGACCTTCGGGGTCTTTCGTGGTAGTGGAGAGATGGGCGATGGAGCCGAGAGCCTCCTTCCTTCGTGGTGGTGGAGCGAAAGGCGATTGCGCCGCAAGCCTTCCTTCTTGGTGGTGGGGCGACAGGCGAAGGCGACAAGGCACCGAGAGCCAACAATTTAGGGGAATTAAGGGTTTGAATTTGGTTTAATTGATTTGGGGGTTAAATGGTGGAAAAGCGTGCCTTGAAAGGTTAGGGGTGTGTTTTATAAATTTTGCAACAATTCAATTTTTTTGTCAAAATATCGTCAAAATATCGCCACATCATCATTATGGATCCCTTGCTGTATGCTCTGATGTACTAGTAGACTTTCCCTAAAAATTTTATACACTTCAAATTTTGACTCTTCATTTTGTTTTTGGGTTAAATTCACCAATGGTCATTCAACTTTATACTTAGCGTCATATTAGTCATCCAATTTGATTTTATTTTACCATAATCACCCAATTTCATATTTATGTTACATTGACAGCACAATTTAATTTATTTCACAATTACTATATAACTTCATACTTAGTGTCACATTGACCATTCAATTTGATTATGTTAAATAAAATTAATGAATAACTTGACTGAAACTAAGTATGAAATTGAGTGATCATGAAGAAACGAAATCAAATTGAGTAGCCAATACTACATTATGAAGTTAGATAATCATAGTGAAATAAAATCAAATTAGATGATCAATACGACACTAAGTATAAAGTTAGATGATCGTGGCTAAATTTAACCCTCTTGTTTTTTCTCAAAAAAATTATTGATTTCTTACCTTTTAAAGGTTGAAGAATAAAGTACAATGAATAAAGGTTCATAAATTCCAAAAGAACTGTCATTTCACTATGAACCACTTCAATAGTCGTGGTTGGGGTTCACTTTGCTGGTGACCCAATACAAAAATTTTAGGATATTTCTAGGTTATTCACGTTGGTCCCACCCCCATGTGAGGAGGTGGATACCCTTACCTAACCCAAATTATGTACCACTAGCAATGCCCAAATTTTTAATGGTAAGACGGAATGTACTTTGTACTCGTACAGTTGTACGATGAATATTATATACTTGTGCATAGACACTAAAGTTATTTCACCAATTTATAACGATTTCACAAATGGTCACTTAAGTTTGAAAATCTAAAGTACATCTGGCTATAATATTTGAGAAAATACCCTTCAATTATTTTACAAGCATTCAACTTTTCCAATTATGCTTTTCAGCCTCAATTTGAAAGTAGAAACAAATCCTCTAACTTATGTCAGATATTTTAGAAAATAATTTCACCTCCCCACATAATTCAAGAAGATGGCAAATGCAACGGAACTTAAACGGTTACCACTGATGAACTGGGAGAAGGGTCAGCCTCTATTTTCATGTATCAAAATGGTCTGAGCTGAAGCATAATGTGACATCAATCAAATATTTCTTGGGCTTCAATTATGCTGTGCTGACTGTAAAAGAACAAAAAGGAGATGCGCAAATGAGTAACATTACAGGAAATATACAGCTATAAAACAGAAAGGCACGGTGAAATAATTAGGCTCACTAGTCGTCCTTCGTTATGCGATAGTACTTCTCAGCGTGTTGCCTTTGACCAATAAGTTGAGCAAACCGCTCATCGTGAGTAATGACGATCAGTTGAAAGTTTTCCTGTCCTTTTCTGTCCTCCATTATTCTGTTGAAGTCGAAGAACCAGAAAAGTGTAAATGGCGGAATCTAAGTATATGTCTAGTACGCAGTATTAACAACAATATATAGTAGATGGACAACATTTGAACTTCGTTTTTCCCTATATAGTACTATCCAAATCCATTTTACCAAACATGCAGTAACCACTCATTTATAGTTGAGTTGCCAATACCTCAGGATAGCTGCAGCGAGGGATTCAGAATTAGGGCCATCCAAGTTTGTAGTTGGTTCATCAAGGGCCAATATTCCACAATTAAGGCAAAAAGTTTCAGCTAGTGCCAATCTGATTATAAGTGAAGCAAGGACCTAATGCAAAAACCAAATGTTGAAAGAAAAGAAAAAAAATAACGAGAGAGAGAGAGAGAGAGAATAATATCTAGGGAAAAAAAACCTCTAATTTCAATATCAGATCTAAAGTACATAAAAAACAAAAGCATCCTAGATGCAGAACACATTCTAAGCTATATGATATCATTCACCTTCTGACCAGCACTACACCTTCCTCGCATTTCTAACTCAGCATCACCAGTTTGCATTAAAACCTGAGATTCACATCATAAATAAGAATTAAATCTCTTCAAGAGAACTTAATACCCTAACACAGTTCAAACCACGCAAACAATTCTTGTTCGATGCAGTATATATTTGGGGTTTTCCTTATTTCTCTTATTTAAAGGGGTGAATATTCTACAGCAAATATTTAGAACCACAGACCAAGGTTAGCTGAATAAAGCTCAGATGTCAACGAGACTGATAGAGATAACCAAGGAGACTCTGGGAAAAGTAAAATTGCAGAAGCTTCGTACAAAACTCAAGAGAAAGCTTCACTAAAATGTATCCGAAATTGGGATATCACAAAAATAGTTGTGATGTTGTAATGTGAATGTAATAGAGGTGCTTCAAAATCTATATGAGCTCGGGAATCCAGACCGTTCATCAATTCTACTTAAATGGCAAGGCCGCAGGGAAAAGTGGAGCGGATTGGTCAGAGTTAGAACCCCATCGCTTGGGGAGCACCCAACAAATTGATGAGGAAGACTTTTGGCCTGTTAGGTTTAGAAAAACCAGGATGCTGAGATTGGCTGTTTTGCATCATAATGTTGAAATACCAGTTTCCGTTCCTCCATATGATGAAATGTAAAGTCATTTTAAAATGTTGATATGTCAACAATTTACATTGAGGCACTCATTACTGTAGTGATCTCTTCAGCTGATAAAATAACATTTTTAGCAACATTTTCTGATAATGCTAATTTAGATACATGTCACGGCAAGTGAATATACAACAAAATAGCAAGCCTTTTTCCAATAATTTTTAGATGTCTGGGATATGATTATTTTCGCAATTCATTTGATCCATCACTAAATATACCAAAAGAATCCAATGAATCAACTCCTTTACATCCACATCAAGGCCTCTAAACTGTCCCTATTCTAGCTTGTTTTACTTGGACTTCATCACTTCTGTGAATAATAGATTTGCCCAAGTATACACGAGACATGTCAATATGTGTCATATTAAATATAAAAAAATAAACACACGCATGTAAATTTTACATATTATCTTTGATATATGATTATTCTATATACAGATGCAGTGAATTATTAACAAATAGCATAAGTACATGGATCCTCCATATAAGTATTTGTCCACGTGTATAAACACATTATATAAATATATTACTCAGCATTATAAAATTAGCAGATGACACAAATCAATTAATTGATTTTCAATACCATAAAAAAAGATTTTTAAGATAGAAAGTTCCCAGGCTTAACAAGTAAAATAATTATTAAAAAAATCCATATCTACTAAGGAAACCTGAAAAATCAAAATCCAATTGAGCCCTAAAACTCAAATATAAAGGGTTCGCACATCATACTTTATGCCTCTTGCATATTTCTATTGGTCGCTGCCACTTATTCACGTCATGATGCCAATGAGCAATTATCAAGTGGATGCCTTAAGACAAATGAGCAGACAGTAAGGATATTAAAGACAATCATTTACATGTGAGCTACACCTCTTAAGATTGAACAGCAAATATTTTAAACAGATTTTGTTAGCAGAACCCTTTTGGATTGTTTTCTGAATTCCTTAGACAGCTTTACTTGATTCAAGTGCTGTACAGGAGGGAAATTTGTAGAATAATAGCCTTTTCTCTTTCTCGTTCTGGAAAGGGTAGTGGTTTCATTAATATAGAACTAAACAAAGTAAAATAGAGGAAGATGATAATTGATAATTACCTTATAGCTATATGATCGAGTACCAGCACCTTCAGAATCTGAATGAATGCTTATATAATCTATATCTTGTCCCCTATAGGTCTGCTGCCACAGTTCTCTTATAATCTTATTTATCTCCTCCATTTTCATAGTATGAAACCGCATAAGTGCTCTAAATTAAAACAAGTTAGTGGAGACAATGTCAGGTATTTGAATTGTAAGAAACGCTATATGAGTAATATTCTGAACAAATTGAATTTATAATCACAAGCTGAGATAACATTGGAGTGCTCACTTGTCCAGTGCATTGTAATAGCGGTCGAGGTCCTTGTTTGCCATCTCAGTTGTCTGTTGAGAAAAGATAACAGTTAATTAAATGATAAAAAGAAATTCTACAAATTATTGAGTATACTATAAATCACCTTGAGCTGAATCAATTGATCAAAATAACGTTTGTCAATGTCCTTATACTGAGCCTGCTTCAGATCAACCTTATTCTTGGAAATATTGTCCTTGTATACAGATAATGTCCCCTGGTATCTATTTAACTGCAACAGAAGTCATCACTCAATTATTACAAAATAAATTAATCGAGAGATTAGAAGTGTGTCACGAGAAGAAATAAAATACATGAGATCAACTAATTAGAGCTAGATAGTGGTTATTACTCCAAAAGGGATGTAAGTTCAGAAATATGTAAACCAGCAATCGTGGCGCATACATTCCTCTCATTTTCAGAAATTGACCATTAGTCAACTCAGGAATCAGAGAAATGACAAGTATCTCAGACACACAACATATAAAACGCTAGTTAAAATGTCATTTCTAGCTTAATTAGTAAGGTCACTCCTGATGATGTAAAGACTACATGTGAGTGAATAATCATACTTCTGTAAGCAGTCTCTCTCTTTCTTTTGAGAGCTTCACAAGCTCAGTTTCTACCATGGAAACGCCTCCCATCTTCAGGATTCTATCTTCCAGTGATTCAATCTCACGTGTAAGTTCATCCACTCGAGCCTTCACGTTCCTGTACTCCAAGTTATCCACAATGCTGCGTCTCAGTTGATCTTGGTCACGCTTCAAATCTTTACTTTTAGTCAGTTCAGCAGAAAGTTCCAACATTCTGGTTTCACAATTCTTCACATGAGACTCTGATAGAATCTGCTTTTCTTGTAATTCTTTTAATCTCTCTCCCCTTTTCAAGTCATTATACCTGTAAAACAAAACTAATTATCAAATAAATAATAATAATAATAAACAAAAAACCAGCATACAGATCACATTTATGACCAAAAAACATACTCTTTGATCTTAGAAGCCATGTTATTAAGTGCATCAACTTCCTGTTGATATGCTCTTCTAACTTTATCCTGCTTGTCATACTCATGATCAAGCTTGAGTTTCAGATCACTGTAGTCACTGTATAATTTTTCTGTCTCCTTCTTTAAAGGACCAATAGCCTCAGCCAAATGCTGAAAGTTTTCAGATACATCACTGTGTCAGACATCATAAATCCATGATAAAGGAGCATATCTTAACAACAATATATAACATCAGAAAACTGAATTCACGCTATACATCTGAAGCCTGTTGTGTGTATTGGTGTGGGTGGAGTAGATACAGTAAGAAGAGGAATTGAATATTTCCCCCCCGTTTGATGAAATTTATTTCAAAACTCTTTTTTCTAAATAAGCGTTTTCAACCACATTCACACAAGAAAATATTTACCATGTAAACCCAAAACTTTACTCTATTTTTTAACTACACGTTCTCCAAAAATTCCCTATTCAAAACTTTGTTTTTGCCAAATAATGCCCATCAAACAGGGGCTAAAAACTAAAATTTTCTTCTGATAAAATAATACAGAACAGTTTGATGAGCAATTAGAAGACTGGTAGAGTCAGTATTGAGTCCTTTTACAGTAGAATGTTTTACTTAGTTCTTTGTTAAATTTACGATACTTAGCTCCTGTTTGGTTTGGATAAAAATAAGATTTCAAGTAGATTTTTTTATAAAAGTCGATGAAATATGTGGTTGAAAAGTTGTTGGTCCTATTAAATGTGTGGTTGAAAATGAGTTTTAAGAAAAGGGGCTTAATCAGCAACTAACATCTATTTCACAAGGAAATAGTTTGCAATCTAGTAACCCAGCCACTGAAAAGATTTTCTTTTGTGTTGCCATGTTGGTGTCTCCCAAAAGAACAAATGAAATTAATGATTAACAGATGGACACAGTAGAAAACCATTACTCATCGGAATTGACCTTACTATGTAGTATTTTCATTAACATGTATTCAACGCTTTGAATGCATCTCCCACAATACGGATCAGAGATAAGATCAATATACGGTTCTGATGATGTTATACTGTTGATCAACATAATGCAAACGCTTGCTTATCCCTGTCACCTTATGCAAAATACTTGTTGGCAAGAGTGGAATCTTTAACCTTTCATCTCAAATTTATTGCATATGTACTTGTTGATATAATGGGTAAGTAGTCCAGATCCAATATATGATGAATTGGTTTAGTAATTATTATGTAATAATAAGAACTTAAATTGTCAGGTAAAGGCATGCCAAATATTTCAGAATAATTAATCACCTTCTCATCAAGCTCAATTCGGCTTTTCTCCTCCGCCAAACGATCTAACTCTTCCTCTGCTCTTTTAATGTTACCCAATGTGTTAGCAGTAGTAGCCTTCTCTTCCCTTAGAGAATGCCACCTTACCTGAAGATTTGATACATCCTGATCCATGTTCCTCCATTCCTCATTCAAGGTCTTAATATCCTGATGTAAAGTATCCCTGTCGCCGGAAGAAATGAAAATGAACTCAAATCAGCAAAGATGCTTCTATATATGACAGCAAAGTTCGTCTGCTATCTAATGAGATTTTGCAAAGCAGATCCATATGATAAACAATTTCACATCATAAAATTCATAAAATAAAGTTGATCGTCTTCTATTACACCAACAGGGGGATGACAATCATAATTTGGAGTAAACAGCAGAAACGAGTTTGCATACTTAGTAGTCTGCATTGTATTCAACTCTAATTGAATTTCCTCCAGGGATTTTACACCTTGCCCTCGGAAATCAAGCTTATATTCTAAATCATCAACTTGCTTCTGCAAAGCCTGTATTTCTTGGAAGAGCCTGTCTGCGGTTTCTACTGGTTGTATCAAGGCATCAGCTAAGTCCTTATCAGCCTTTATTTGAGCCAGAACACCAAGCACCTGCAAGCAAAGCAAATGATCCTAAGTGCCAGTAGCATGTCTGCCAGCAAACAGCAAGCTGATATATTATCTAGTCAATAATAAGCATAAAAGAAATTAAGAAGGGAAAACAAAATATACAACTAAGAGAAAACAAGTACTGAACTTCAGCTCAGGGAAGAATTCTTCAGTGAAATTAAATTGTTGATTCCCTAAATACCCTCATAATTTTGCTGCTCATTTTATCTCAGACCTTTGGCATTATATGGAAACATTCACCTGCCCTATTAGTCTCTCAACTACCTACCAACACAACTAAATAATGTAAGGAAATATTCCAATTATCTAAACAGTAAAACTACTTCTCCTTTAAATTATCCTAAGAATATACACGAGGTAACGAGTACCAAAACCACTAACAAGTAAAATTCTACATTTGATAATTACATCATCGTGAGCCTGATTTTGTTGATCCAGTTCTTCATTTAGCTCTTTCAGATTCCTTTCAGCGAGAGGAATAGTTTCTTTGCTGATTTTATCATGTTCTTCGTACACCATGCGAAGTTTGTCTAACTGCTGGAACTGGAAATCAGCATTTGAAGACTCCATAGCCAGTACTTTCATATGCTCTGCAGAGCTTGCAGCTTTCACTCTTTGCTGTTATGAAATAAAGAGATCAAGAACCCTCTTGGTTGAATAAGATGGTGGAAGACATCATCACGACAGCATAGGGCATAAAAAAGGAAAGTAAACCTTTTTAACAAATTCATCTTCTTCTTCTGCCGAGAAAGGTCTCTCACAGCACGGACAAATATGATGAGCACGAGCAACTCTTTCAAAAGGATCAAACATTTGCCGCATACCATCTGCAATGTTATATTTGCTGCAAGCATGTATAATGAAGTGCGTGTTGAGAGATTATGTGCATACACATACATGTAGACTGAAGCCTATGCCGTCTACTATAACAGCGAAGTTAATCACCTTTTCTGGACATCTCTTTTTTCCTTGTTAATATCCAAGACTTCAAGGTAGGATTCAATGCTAACAGATTGCTGGTCCAAAGACTGGAGTTTCGATTCAATGAATCTCCTCCTTGCTGCATCAAACAAATTAATTGATAGTGTCAAATGGTATAGAAGAAGTAAAGGGAAAAGGAACAAGCTTGCACAAGCAGTTTTTAATGAAAAAGGTTTTGTAAGTTCAAAGCCAGAACGTCCCTAGATCCTGGCCGGATCTACAGGCTTCAAATATAATAGTAGTATAATATACGAAGGGGAAAAGGGGAACTTAAATTTTGACCACTTTTCTTCCAGAGGTAAATAAATAGTATATCATTAAGGTTTTTACAATGCTTATAAAAGTAAGGTTCCTGTCCACCTCTGAGATTATAGGAGGGAGAACACTGCTTTAGGAGATGTTTCCAAGGAAAATTCTGCATCAGTCTTAGGGATGGCAACATGGAGGGTGGATGTGCCCTAAGCAGGGCAGACGGGCTGGGTATCTTCGGGGCTTAGGCTTGGCAGGGCAAATTATCATCCTAATCAGTCGTCGTCTATTCAGGAAGTATAATAAGACTAAAACCAAGCCGAAACAGAATAGTTTTCAAGAAGGGCAAAAAGCATACAGCATATTTGGTATTTAGTTGGTGACAAGTTCTTCAATACAAAATTAAACATCAAGAAAACAAAGATTAGCTTCAAACACTAGTGGTACCCTGTCAATGCCACAAAAAAGAGCACTAAATGGAGGAAAAACTCATCATACAGCATTTCACCCAAGAAGGTTAAGCCTTACATTCCATGTCCTTGTGAAGTTTGGATAAGTTACTGTTTGCTTCTTGTATTTTCATCTCGATTTTCTTCACCTCCATTTCAGTTTCGCGGGCTTTTGAGTTCAAATCATCATACTCTTTCTGGAGCAAGCTGCACAAGAACCAGCATGTCAAACAATCTGATACAAACCAAATGAATGTTGCAGGTGTGCTCACATCGTTACATTCCAAAACCAGTAACTGGAGAGAGCTTGCACATGCAAATAATTGATGTGATGCAATATACAAGCAAATCTCAAGAAATGTCCATCACCTTTGAGCCTTGGAAATTTCTTTCCTCAAATCCTTGTCAGGGGGGAGCCTTCCTTTAAGTACCCCTCTAATTTTATCCTTGTATTCATCCATTCTGTAAATTATTAGGAAAGAAGTATCAGCTTAACAAGAGGAGGAAAAAAACAAACATCTGAAAGGTTACAGCACAAAGTCAGGTCAAAAGTAGACTTGCATTTTTTTGTGTTTCTTTTTGTGGTTTTCCAACTCTGACTTCTTGAGAGAAAGTTCAACTCTGTCACGGGAATCGGCAAGAATGGAGTCTCTTTCATGGCTAAGAGCTTTAATTTTTTGTTCTAAGGTATAAATCTCACTCTGCTTTTGGTTTATATTTGAATCGAAATTTCTTTCTGCAAGTTGATTAGTCTTTCTCTCCAAGTCAATTTGCTGCCGAAAAAAGGTAATATTATCAGCTTTAAAATGACAAACGTCCATCTGAAAATTATTGAGCATGGGCTAAGTACCATTTGTTTGTCCCTCTTGTCAATGGATTCCAAATTAACATTAAAAATCTGAAGTTCAAACGCATCACGCTCTTTCTCCTTCTCTTCAATAAGTTTTAAAGTGCCAGTCTACAGCAAAGTGACAAGTATAAAAAATTAGTCAAATATGATGGAGGACCACAGAAAAAGAGTGCATGTCACTTTTAATGATTTACCTTGATTTCGGCTTTAGCCTTTCTCTTGGCATCAATTTCTTTGCACCGGTCATTTGCGTGCATGTATTGATCAAAAGCCGCCTTAATTTCAGCTTCATTAGATTTCTGGAATAACATGGGTCCCAGTAAATGTCGATCAGCATAGATGACAATAGACAACCAAAATATTAAAAGAAAAAATATAAAGAAGCCGCAAGTGCGTGAACTTGGAAAGGGGAGAAGAAATATTGATTATCCATAAAATTTAGAAAATGAAGCAACTATTTGAACTAGTAGAAAGAATGGAACGAATTGGTTCTCATCTTGGAGAATTGAAAAAAGTCATTTACACTAATAAATCTTTTGCATAAGAGCTTTGCTTTTTCTCCCAGCTGACTTGTGCTGAGATTAAAATTAGAACATCATGGAAGCAGCATTAGAATAGATACATTGGGAACTCAAAATTGGTTCCCAAAATTGGATATTCAACAAAGTTAAGGGGTGAGGATCCAGGCACCATAGCACTATCCAACAAATGACGAGAGAGATACATGAGAAGGGAAATCTTTTAAAAACTGACTGAGAAAAATTGCCAATTGGCGCGGCAGTCATAAACATAATATTCAAAATACCTCATCGCTCAAACATGAGTGCTAGCAACTTGTTTCTTCCTAATTATAATACTCTTAATATATGCCACAAAGGGCTCAGTGAAGTTAGCATTGGCTGTAAAAATTAGCTCCATGGAGTATGGCTCAACATACTCTACCCAAGTTAAGAATATACGAATAAAAACTTATATTGGTGTCAACTAAATATCTTTGGAACCTGCAAAAATTGTGCAGCCAGGTATGACTATGCATCTATTATTTGAATGAGTGATTATCAGAAAGGCCTTACAAGCTTCTCAAAGTTTCATAAGAAGGTACGCTACAGCCAAAATAAGATTTCTCTCTCTCTCTCTCTCTAGTAATGGTGTAATGCTCCCACCTATTTGTATAATTGAAGATCTATCACATGTTAGCTGGTTCTGCTTTTCTGACCCCCCCCCGCCCCCCCCCCCTCCCTCTCCCTCTCCCTCTCCCTCTCCCTCCCTCCCTCCCTCCCTCCCAACAAAGTGACAGGCACACGTACACCAAAAAAGGGGGAGGAAAAAGGTATATCGAGGAAAAGAAATAAGGAAAAATAATTATGCAATCAGGTTCTATAAAAACCATGGAGTCATATGACAAAATAGAGAAGAAAGGATCAAACAGGCATAGGTTCTAAACTAAATGTAAAAATATATACCTTTTTATCTTGCAAGTCCTTGTCAAGATCCATTGACCTTAATCTTATTCGATTTATGAGGTTCAAAGCAGCATCGTCACTGAAGGGACGATTTGGAAGAGACCCTAAATTGTGCTTCTCGAAGAGCTGTTGAATTGAGAAGTCTCTTTCATTCTTCAAGGACATATGAGCCTGAAGGCCACAAAGAGAGAATTATCTATTACCCAAAAAAAAAAAAAGGCCATCTTAACTGACTGTAGTTTAGAATGTCGATGAGCTAATTGATGAAAATTACGTCAGCAGCAGTTTGAAGCTTGGCAATCTCCTTAATATTTTCCTTTATCATCTCTTCGTTGAAATTACGCTTGTCCTCTGTGTCCTTTAATTCTCTCTCCAACTTGATAGTTTTAGATTCTAAAATTGCGATCCTTTCATCAAACTTGTTTTTCCACTCAGTTAATTCTTCATCAGTGTCTAACAAAAATTAAAAGAAGATAAATTCAGAAAGCAAAAACTCAATATCATGTTGATGTTGCTCCAACCTGTATGGAAAATGGAATAACAAACACCATAAAGCTTAAAGTGGCAAGGAGAAAAGAAATATTGATTTCAACAACATGTAATACTCCATTAGACAGACCTTCATTTTCCTCAGCAAGATCTCGATAGCGTTTCTGCTGTTCCAAAAGCAACGTGCTTCTTTCCCCAGATTTTGTAGCTATCTGATCTTGCAGTTTCCGCAGGTCTTTCAATGTTGATTCAGTATGATGTATCTTACCATCCACATTTTTTATCTCTCTCTCAAGCTCCTGCATTTGATTTTTTAAAGTTTCTGTTTTCTCTTGATCTTGCACAATGCTTTCTCGAAGCTGGACGAAAATAGATCTATTTATTAAGATCTCATATTTGAGAAAACAATCTTTAAATTATACAATCAGAAAAAAAAAGAGCATGCTCACAAGATTAATGATACACTTAACAGACCTTATCTGAGTCAAGTAAAATTATGAAGCTACACTTAAAGAGGAAAAAACTGATTTGCAATTAGATTGGTATCAGCATAAATGCAATACAAGTAATACGGGCAAGAGAAAAACATTTAATAACAACTAATGCGAATTCATAAAAGAGAAAGGAAATTAAACAGTATTAGCAAACTGTCTAAAGAGAAATAAACATAAAAAGCATTTGGTGCAATGGAATGGTAAAATTGACAGATAAACAGAAAGTCGTCTTAATTAATAGGCTACAATTGAACAGAAAAGAGTCTCCAATAATATTTCTTTGTTGATTTTGCCAAACTTTTTGTGTATAGTAACTAGTTTGGCATTATTCTCAAGAATATTAGTTGCAGCATCTCTTGCAAAACTTTATAACAATAACAATAATAATAATAATAATAATAATAATAATAATAATAATAATAATAATAATAATAATATAACACAAGAAAGGAATAACTTCTACACAGGCACTACAAAACCTGACACCATATTCACCCTATGGCAAGGAAATAGAATATACTCAAAGAACCACAACAAGACTTCACGGCGGTAAGCAAATCAACTCTATATGCATATTACAAGACATAGAGCATATTTGGCTAAGCTTCAAAATTTTACTTATAAGTAAATAAGTTGTAAAATTTTTAAAAAATATTGATCAAAACTGAAATTAAGTTATGCTTTTTACATTAGTTACTTTCAAAATAAGTATCTTTTTCCTTTACTCTGAAAATAAAAGTTGCTTAAAAGTAACATTTACTTATTTTTAAGCTTAGGAAGACATCATGGCCTCACATTACCAAGGAGTTATGACCAAGTGTCATCTACATGTGAATGCTTGGAAAGCTGATGAGACAACAAAGTGAAGGGACATAGAAAACCTATGAAATGCTAATTCAAAAGGGGATATTTCGTACAAGCTTCAGTGAAAAAAAATGTCATTAAAGATCACATCATTTTCAATGTCTTATCTACCACAGCATCTAATAAAAAGGAATTAACCTTGTATGCAGCATCTTTCAAGGTTTGTAGATTCTCCAGTTTCAGCTTATATGTCTTTATCTCTTGACTCTGATCTTTGTGAAGCTTTTTTATAACCTCCAAGGCCTTTGTGTATCTACAGAATAAATGTAAAATAGATGTTATCTTGGTAACAAGTCCTATAAAACAGAAATTTATGATACCTTTACAGATACATCAAAAGCTTTTACGTGCTCTAAGTTGCAAGCATCCAGCAACAACAAAAAATGGCCTTCTCAGAGCCAGAGGACTAAATGAAACTAGCCATTTAATTAGGATTCCGCTTGCGAAAATCATCATTTAAATCCATTAAGTCCCATGAAACCTATTACTTATTTTGTTTTTCCAGTAACAGAAAGCTATTCCTAAACCCATCACTTTTATCCAAATTATATATCGAAGAGAAGAGAGCATCAATAAGTATGAAATTATAGTGCATGTTGATTTGAAAAAGATTCATGCTAAAATCTCGAGATATACAAAAATTAGATAAAAGCAAACCTAAAACAAACATATAAAGCAATAAATTAATGCATCATCTTGCAGAGCATTAAATACCTAGTAGCGGAGAAGATGTCATCAAACTTCTTTTTCAGTGTAGAAGGATCTTGTAAAGGCCAATTGGCCTCATCTTGATGAACAAAAATAACATTCTCAAGAATAGCCTTAGAAACCCCCATAAGAGCAGGAATTTCCCGGTCCATATCAGCACATCGGTAGCTTAGGCAAACCTTCTGTTATTTCCAAAGCAATATAGAAATTCAAGTGAGAAGCTATTAAATTTTTTAATGGCTATAACTGTCAAATGATGAAGAAAACAATATGAGTCACTTAACTGACTCGAGACACAACAGATAGGTACATAAAAAAGAAATAAACAAATACCCACTAATAAGTGAATACAATATCACAGTAATAACTACAAAACAAATAAAAACGGGTTAATTTCACAAATGGTCACTGAAGTTACAGCAAAATTTCAAAATGGTCATTGAAGTTCCAAACTTGCATAAACGGTCACTCAACTTTCAGCCACTTTCAAAAATGGTCACTGAGGTAAGTTTTGGACTTTTTTGTTCTAATTGAAAC